TCATGTTGCTGCTGATCTGTTTCATGTTGCTGCTGATCTGTTCCATATTGCTGCTGATCTGTTCCATGTTACTGCTGATCTGTTTCATGTTACTGCTGATCTGTTTCATGTTACTGCTGATCTGTTTCATGTTGCTGCTGATCTGTTCCATGTTGCTGCTGATCTGTTTCATGTTACTGCTGATCTGTTTCATGTTGCTGCTGATCTGTTCCATGTTGCTGCTGATCTGTTTCATGTTGCTGCTGATCTGTTTCATGTTGATGTGTTCATGTGTGCTCATCTGCTCACACAGACTCATGTTCATGTTGGTGCTGATGTTCGACAAAATGTTTTTATGTCATTAGTGCTTAGTGTATTTTTAGTTGATGTTTTTCTTAGTTCATATCTTGGATGTTATTGTTTTTCTTTTACATTTATTGTTGAATGTAACTGGGACCCTGTGAACATAATTTCATAATTTGTGTACAGTGAAGAATCTCTGACTCTACGAGATGGCTGGCAAGGAGTTCCCTTCAGATACAGTTGAACACAATTCAGTTTATTTATAAAGCACCAAGTCACAACAGAAGTCGTCTCAGGGCACTGATCAGAAATATTCATAAATAATAATTTAACATTATTTATCTGAGGAGCAGACTGCAGAACTCTCATCTTGAGCAAGCATGAAGGTGACAGTGGAAAGGAAAACCTTTAGCAGGATCAGGACTAGAGGACCATCTGTTTCGACCGGCTGGGTTTGAGAGGAACAGATACACAATGGCAGGTCAAGAATCACATGTTAAGATAGAAATAGTTTCAAATGAAAACTGTTCAATTTTAACAATTCATTTAAGGAAATGAGGTCAGTTTGTCCTCCAGTAGTCTAAGCTTAAGACAACATAACAAGCCAAACCTAATACTGGTGTTGGTCAAGTGATCCCATATATACACATTATATATATATATATATATATATATATATATATATATATGTGTGTGTGTGTGTGTGTGTGTGTGTGTGTGTGGGTTGACCTCACTGGATTCACTCTGATGTGTCAATGTGTCAAAGGTCAAAGATTAAATGAACTAGTAAAGCATTCCTTTTACAGTGTACATGTCCCGAACAGAAATGAGTGGGGGAAACGGTCAACATTTATTTTAAAGACCATAACGCGTGAGGACATATTAATAAGCGTGTAAATGTTGTTTCTTGGACCCTTGCAGCAGTCACCTCTGTCCACAGCTGTCTTCTTTTTGGGCTTCTTGCCCTTTAAATCTGCTGCTCCGCCACGTAGCGCCACGTTTTCACGCATGCGCAGTTGTTTTCACATCAGTGTTCCGGGTTGCTCATTGAGCACTGTGTCAAACACGATATAGTTATTTTTTCTTCAGTTCGATGGTCAGGCCCAGGTTGTTTTTAAGCAGAGAGACTCCTTCAGATTTCCCGTAGACGAAGTGTGTAAGGATGAACTTCTTCCGAGGAGTGATAGCAGGACAGTCTGCAGGGCCGCAGCCGACCGGAGCCGAGACGGTAGGAGACCCGACGGCTAGCTAGCTGGTAGCTGAGCTAGCTGGGATTGAAACTGAGGACACAGACCCTGCAAACGATTACACACAAACACAAGAACTGTATACGGTTAGGTGATGCATTCCTTCTAAAAACTTAGAATATGATTAAAAAAACAATTTGTTTAAGCTACATATTGTTGGCAAACGTTAGCTTGTTTGACTCCGCGAGGCTGAACTTTACCCGCTGCGTGTAGTTAAAACATGATGCTGCTCAACAATCCAGGGGGATGGATCTAACGAGGTCCTCTGGATGGGTTCTTTGCTGAAACGTTCCATCGTTCATGTGTTATCAGTGCAAGCACTTTGGCCAACGGTGTCGTTTTCAAAAGTACCTTATAAATCAAGTTGCTCTCTTTTTGTCACTAGGAAGATTCAGCGTGAATTTACTCAACGTTTTTAACAATTTAATTAATCTGCATTCCTGTCCTCAGTGGATCTTCTGTCCTCAGTGGATCTTCTGTCCTCAGTGGATCTTCTGTTTTCAGCTGTTTTCTCAAGAACATTTGGAGTATGCGAGTTGTGTGGGTAAATGCTGCTCGACCTGCTTTTTATTTTCAGGGCAGACTTTGGTCACGTGGTTTTGTCATTACCATGGCAACCCCCACCAAGCAGCCATCAGGCTGATGGTCCTCCTTGATCACGTGAACAGCTGGTTCTGGGTGTTGACAACAAACTGGTGGATCCATTGTGAGGAGGTGCTATTTATAAGACTGCGCTTGTTGCAGCTCCTCAGACTGAAGAAGACTTTTAGATAAAATATGAAATGTTTCAAGAAGATGAATCCATCCAGATGACCTGACTTTACTTTGTTAGATTTTTCTACCTGGATTATTGAGCAGCATCAGAATACATGGTGACCACTGTTTCCTCTGTGCACGGTTCGATAAGACAAATGGACATGGATAGAAATTTTTTTTGTTGGGGCGGCTGTGGCAGAGTGGTTAGAGCAGTCGTCTGCCAATGCAAGAGTTGGGGGTTCGAATCCACCAGCAGTCGCATGCCGAAGTGTCCATGGGCAAGACACTGAACCCCTCATAGCCTCTGTGTCCCATCGGTGTCTGAATGTGATCTACAGCTCTGATGATGAGGACACAGATTGTTGTAAAGAGCTTTGAGTATCTTGAAATAAGGTAGAAAGGCGCTAGATAAGTGCAGTCCTTTTACCATTCCATAGAAGAAATTCAAATGTCTGTCACGTTTTAGAAAGCCAAACATTCCTTCCATCATAACTATAAAAAGATGAAATAAAATAAAACTTAACTCTGACTGAAGTAGAGAACATTAAACAATAAGTTTCTTTTGGCTTCTCCCTTCTTCAGGGGTCGCCACAGCGAACAAACTCGCTGAAAACGTTTGGCCATTTGTTTTACGCCAGATGCAACGTGGGCTCGAACCCACAACCTCAGGATTACCAGGCTGCGGCGCTGACCACCGAGCTCCCGCAGCTTTGAAACAGAGAATTTAAGCAGGGCTGACATTGATCAATAATCACAGTTTTTCCACAGTTACAGTTTAGGCTGCGCAGACGTTCGAAAACCAAGCTGACTCTTTGTTCTCCCGCCCGTCCTCAGATTCAGAAGTTGTGCGACAGAGTTGCCTCTTCAACGCTTTTAGAAGATCGCAGAGATGCTGTTCGGGCACTCAAGTCCCTCTCTAAGGTAAAGTATGCGGATGGAGCTTATTTAATAACTCTACCGTCACTCTTTTTTTACCAGATGTTGAGCTGATGTTAGGACTGTTTCAAAGCTTCTCCAGCTTTATATTCTTTTAGTAAATGGTTTATTTTCCACAACAAGAATGCCACTGTAGCCCTCCTACTCTTACATGACCTTAGTTCCTGTATTTTATTTGAACCTTTATTTCATTTCAATGTCTTCACGGTGGTGCAGCTCACCTCACGGTTTCTTCATTTTTTTCTTAAAATTTGACATCTTCAGATTACATCTTTGAAAATACTCTTACAGACACAACTTAAGCAATTTTTTTTGCAAAATACTGAGCTACTTTGGTCAACTCGTGACATGGAAACACTAAACTGTAGGAAAAGAACTACTTTATAAACTGCTGCTTCATGTCTGTAATGATATTTTTCATTTTTGTTCACGTTTGTTTTTATATTTCATTATAAAATTAAGATGGTTCAGTTAGTCTCCTTCACCCCGTCTGAAGCCCGTGTCCTGTTTCATCATGGTCTTTCTTGTTTGTTAGAAACATAAACCAGTTTTTACAACAGCTGTGCTGTCAAACCTTTTAGTTTCTGAGCCTCCAAATAACAACAGAGACTTGGTATAACTCAAATATTGAAAATAAATAAAACAAAGTAAATAAAGCCATAATGACAGCACATGTCATAAAACTGTATTACTTTAGTCAGTTATGACTTTGTGTTTTTATACTTTGTAACAAATATAGTGACAATATTCATAAAAGCATTAATTGTTTGAATTTTTTGCATAGAGTTGAATCACTCAAGTCTTTTGTCTGCTTGTGCAGTTTTTGAGTAACGACTTTATCATGTTTAAATATGGTTTTATGAGGCACAAGAGTTTATAATGTGTTTGTGTTTATGCTGCTTTAAATTTAAGTCTTTAGACTGGTTTAAAAATATCACCAGTTAAATTTTTTTCTACCTTTCTGTAGAAATATCGCCTGGAAGTTGGCACACAGGCGATGGATTACTTGATTAACATTCTGCAAACTGACAGGTATGTTGTTTTTATTTAATGCTTTAAAGTGTTTCCCTGCATATGTGGGAATGATTTAAAGTGGCTTCTTCATTTAAAACAAAAATTTCTCTACAATTAAGTGTAAATAAATAAAGATTAACCCCCTTAAAGCACATCCAAACATTTAAAATGTTTGGCTCTAATTGCATGTGCCTTGTTTTTTCTAATACTCTTTTTAGTTCTGCTGAAGAAATGCTCACGTTGAAAACAAGTGTTTAAAATTCATTATAAAAGGAAAGAGAGTGGTCCAGTCTGTAATGTTTTGCATTACTGGCAAAGAATTGTTGACCGTTTGTATTTTGGCAGCACAGTGGATCAGTGGTCAGCACTGATGCTGCACAGGAAGAAGGTCCTGGGTTGAATCTCTGGTTTGGACCTGGGTTCTCTCCTCCCACAGTCCAAACACCTCCATGTTGGGCTGCCGTCAGGCCTCCCTGCTAAAGAGATCAGCGATCTCAGTGGGATCTTCCTGGTTAAATAAAGGTCGATATTTGTATTTTAAATATGTGACTTTTTCTGTCCGACAGGTCTGACTCAGAAATCCTTGGATATGCTTTGGACACGCTCTACAACATCATCTGCAACGATGAGGAGGAAGAACAAGGTGCTCCTTTTTATCATTGCAGAGAGAAACAAACATTCATTTTCTGGTTTAAACGATTCCTGAATTCAACCTTCGATGAAGCTGGAAACGACTGAAGTTCACTGTGAAGTTTGTGTGAAAAAGAAAACGTAATTTGAACGTTTCGCTCTTATGTGAATGTGACTTTACGTAAAGACTGTCGTTTCTCTCTTCTCTTTCATGTTTTACCTCTGCAGATGAATCAGAAGGTAAAAGTCTTTGACTGCATGACGAACCTTTAACCACAGCGGTTTTCACCAGCGACACGTTTATGAGTCGTCTTTTACAAAACACGTCTCCACTGCTTTGATTTGACCCTTCATGCTGGAACAGCTCGTTTATTTCTAGGCTGCGTTTTCACCAGAATCCATCTTTGACTTTAAACTCGACGCAGCTGAACGAGTTCAGATTTTTTGGGGAATCTTTACTTTCCATTGCGCCCCCTCCTGACGTGGTAACCCCCCCCCCCCCCCTTGACCTCTGGACAGTGCTGACTAATGCGTAGTTGTTGTTCTACTAAAAGTTAACCAACTTTACTAAAATGTGTTCCAAATACAGGAGGCTGTTTGGGTCCAACACAAAAACTTTACTAACATCACAAGTCTTTCTGTAAAACAGCTTTTATTCTCACATTCTTTTTGTTTCCTCTAACAAATTAAAGCTTGTGTTTGTTGGGAAATGTGACCGTTTTGTGAACAAGTCCTTTTGTTCTCTCCAATATAGATCTGTTTTCATTATTTTCTCATGAGAACTTTGGATTATTCCTCATAATGGAACCAGTTTCAACCAAACGTAGGAACAGTAGCCCCTCGCTACTTCACGGTTCGTCTTTCGCGAACTCGCTCACTGCATGATAAGCTTCCTCCTGCAGCTGATCAGCTGATCTCTGTGCACAGTGAAGTGGGCGTGGCCACGAGCGCTAGCAGGTGGCTGAGAGCAGCGGAGAAATCATGACGTTCTGTGTGTGCTCTCTTAGAGCGTTAAGAATATTGCAGTAGTGTGGGAGGGGTTTAAATGCCTAAATATAAATAAACTTCTTGTTCTACTGTTCCTACTTCACGGTTTTTCACTTCAGGGTACGGACCCCCTCGATAAACGAGGGACAGCTGTATTCAGCTTCTGCAGCACCAAACTTTGCTGCTCAGTACATCAGCACAGTCGTCATACGTGACGTAACGTTGGCGTTTGGAAAGATGTTTTTGTCCACACGTGTGGGTTTAAACTCATTTTGAGATCAAGTTTTTTTAATTCCATCGTCAGACTCAACAGTTGGAACTGTCCTGGTTGGGTGGATCACAGTCAGTTTATCACCAGGTTAATGTTTTTTACTTGAAGTTTTTCTCTGAGTAAAAGTACCAGAAAGTACTTTTTGGGACGAACTTTAACGGCGAGTGAACTGTTTGGAAAGTTAAAGTGAACAACACATCAGTTAACACTTGTTATTCAGAGGGTGGTGATTATTGATTAGTTATTGGTGCATTTTGATTATCTTCATGCTCTTCCTCTCTGTATTAGTATTATTATTGTGTTATTATCTTCTGTGTGTGCGCCGTAGACCGAGCGTCATCCACTCAGGAGTTTTGTGTCTCGTGTTCCAACGTTTCAACATTGATTGATTATTGACAACTGAGAATGTTCCATATTTCTGATGCTTTGTGATTAAAAACAGATTTTACCTCCTCAACGTACATTGATCTTGTGGATCAGAGTGGGTTTAGTTGTTCTCTGTAGTGGCTCCACCAGATCTCTTAGATGTTTTCTCATATTAACAGTTACATAGTTAAGAATCATCTGAACTCTTCTTCCTCCTTTTCTAGTCAGGTTTAAGTTTCTTCTTCTGTTGAACTTCTATCCATGTTTTAATTTGTCACTTAAGATCTTTATCAGTTTGTGCACGTGTCTTCGTGCTGCTCGTGTGTCTCGTGAACTCATTGGATGTGGTTTATCTTTATACAGTTTAAGAACAGTTAAGTTCCCGATGGAACTAGTTTTTGTCTCTTAACTGGGGCCGACTGCTGTGAACCCACGAAGCGGGTTCTTGATCCAGTCAGAGACTCGGTGCATGAAAAAGTTTTTATTTCGGCTTTTGTTTTCCTCCAGATGAGAACGCTCAGAAGCAGGCGGACGACCTCGGCGCCCAGTTTACTGAGAAGCTCATCCAGGACCCCGAACACGTCACGCTGCTGCTCACTCTGCTGGAGGTACCGTTCTGGTCCTGGTCCAGCTCTGAAAGGTCATTGTTCACCAGTTTAGTAACTACAACACGCATTGGTACATTTTTTGTTTTGTAAGGAGTTTGACTTCCACGTGCGCTGGCCTGGAGTGAAGCTGCTGACTGCTCTGTTGAAGAACCAGGGCGTTCAGGTGCAGGGCGTCATCCTCGTCAGCCCCATGGGTGAGTTTCTGCTCATCACTGTGCACCAGGCTCCGTTACCTCAGACTGTCAAATAAATCACTTCTGTTGTCATATACAACTCTATTTTTTTTATTCCATGATTGAGACGGTTTGTTTTTATTTATTTGAATGAAAACCACTTCTCATTTTTCTTTCTAGGTGTTTCCAGATTGATGGACTTGTTGGCCGACTCCAGAGAAGTCATTCGCAATGACGTCAGTCCGTTTGTTCCTGCTCTGTACAAAACTGAACTTGAGTCTGAGATGAGGTGTCAAAGCAGAACTGGTTCAAGGATCCTGCCTTCTGCTTCTCACAGGGTTTACTGCTGCTTCAGCAGCTGACTAAAGGCAACGCAGCCATTCAGAAGATTGTAGCGTTTGAGAACGCATTCGAGCGTCTCCTTGACATCATCACAGAAGAGGGCAGCAGTGACGGAGGTAAGAACATCCAAACTGTGACTTTACATGGAGTTTGTAAATCTGTTAATTCTGTTCAAAAGGATGAGCGTAGTTTAGCTTCAGAGTTGTCTCTGATGTGAAGGTATCGTAGTGGAGGATTGTTTGCTGCTGCTGCTCAACCTGCTGAAGAACAACAGCTCCAACCAGAACTTCTTCAAGGAGGGCTCCTACATCCAGAGGATGAAGCCGTGGTTCGAGGTTGGTGATGATAACTCTGGCTGGTCTGCACAGAAGGTCACCAACCTCCACCTCATGCTGCAGGTAACACAACAGCCACATGTTGACGTCAGATGATGGTGCCATGCTCGAACCAGTTAAACTGCGTTGTGTCTCCAGCTGGTGCGAGTCATGGTGTCTCCGGTGAACTCGCCTGGAGCCACAGCCAGCTGTCAGAAGTGCATGTTCCAGTGCGGTCTGTTGCAGCAGCTGTGCACCATCCTCATGGCCACCGGCGTGCCTGCTGACATCCTCACTGAGGTAGTACGATCAGCCGGTCATCATGAGTTCTGGTTCTGCTCAGGTTCTTCGTATTTGATGTGGCCACTTGCTTTCAGACCATAAACACTGTTTCAGAAGTGATCCGAGGCTCACAGGTCAACCAGGACTACTTTGCTTCGGTCAACGCTCCTTCAAGTCCACCAAGGTAACGCAGCTGATCTTCTCACCTGTTGACACTTGAAGACTTGCTGTCAGCTTCTCCTCTGACACCTCTCCACAGACCAGCCATCGTGGTGCTGCTCATGTCCATGGTCAACGAGCGGCAGCCGTTCGTGCTTCGCTGTGCCGTTCTTTACTGCTTCCAGTGTTTCCTGTACAAAAACCAGAAAGGCCAGGGGGAGATCGTGGCTACCCTGCTGCCCTCCACCATCGATGGTAAGAATCGTGACCGTGATGGATTCACTCTTTGAACTTTATTTAGTCTAAAAGCTCCCCCCCCCCCCCCCCCCAGCTAATTCCATTTCAGCAGGCCAGCTGCTGTGTGGAGGCCTGTTTTCAGCAGACTCTCTGTCCAACTGGTGCGCTGCTGTGGCCCTCGCTCATGCCCTGCAGGACAACCTCACCCAGAAGGAGCAGCTGCTCAGAGTCCAGCTGGCCACCAGCCTGGGCAAGCCCCCGGTGTCCCTGCTTCAGCAGTGCACCAACATCCTGTCCCAGGTAGGACACGGCGTCGTGCACGGACGAATGGCTCATTGGTGGAACTACGTTTGGCCACCTGACAAAGTTTAACACTGCTACGGTTTTTCAGGGGGATAAGATCGTCCGGCGGGTAAGTCCAGTGCATCTGGAGTGGATATTTGAGTTTGAGTCTTTGGGTGGCGCTTGTTCTGGTTATTTCGGCTTGTCGTAAACTGCAGGGGTCTCTGTGGACCCCATGCTGGGGGATCTTGCTTCCTCCTGACGTCTTCGAGCCCTGCTTTGTCCCCAACTAAAGGCTCCGACACAAATCACTTTTTACTTGTGAACGTGCTCTTTATGAACATTTATGTTTGAAAACTCCACATTATTAACTTTGTTGTTGCTCAAAGTACTTGAACTATAAAAACTACAGATTGGGAATAACAGCCAAACGAGACACAAAGTCAACGGAATTGGTTTTTTGGGGGTGGGGGGGTCAGAGAAAATGTTTTGCTCTTAATAATAATTTCATAACTTTCTATGATTTATTTACAAATTAATCCTTAATTGCTCCCGGGTGCTTGCATAGCTGCCCACTGCTCCACCTGGGTGTTTCCCAGGTGCAATGGGTTAAATGAACTAATGAACTAATTTCACCATTGTATGGGAATCATGACAACACATCGCACTTATTATTATTATTATTATTATTATTATTATTGTTATTATTATTGTTATTATTATTATTATTATTATTATTGTTATTATTGTTGTTATTATTATTGTTATTATTATTATTATTATTATTATTATTATATTCATGTAACTTTTTCACAGCTTCTTGTTCTGGACATTTGTTTCTGGTTTTCAGTTTGTTGCAACATGTTTGAATGAATGTAACTCAATAATTGATCAAATATGAAAAATAAATCAAAAAGTTTTTGCAAAGATTCTGTGGAATCTGTTTGCTTGAATTGTTACCGGTCATGTTTTTAAGTTTCAAGTACTTTTAGCAACAAGAAAGTCCATAAATTAGAACTTTTAAAATGGTGTGATGATCAGAAGTTATAATGTGAACTTCTGAAAGTTGACACTTAAAGGATGTTTTAGTTTTTATATAACATTTATATCATAAGGGTGATATTTTAAATGTTAGAGCACAGCTTGTCCTTTGCATGGCTCAAAATAACAGAAAAATTACAGTTTATATTTATCAGACTAAGATTTCTGCATTAAAACAAATTTATTTCACTCCAAGTGATTATATTTAAAGATTTCAGCTCATTTAGTCAATTTACTAGAGTTTGACCATTTATTGAAATACATTTATCACAGTATGATTTCAAATACAGATAAGCTTACATCATACAATTCACCCAAACCTTGTTTATTAGCTATAATCTGGCTTTTAGATTAAAATGTGCAGATCAGAGAGGACACCGTGAGGGTTTAAAAAAAGTTCAGCTGAGACCTCGTTTGCATTAGTCCTGTCCCAACAAACCTCTTTTAGTGTTAATGTAGTTTGATTCCAAGAAGTCAAGTTGCAGAATCGGAGTTTACCGGAGAGAGCGACTCAAACAGGCCGTGTGTTGACGCTTTACCTGCCGTGAGGTTCACGGACGGGCGGCCGTTCTGTTGGCAGCTGCTTGCTCGATGGTGCAGAGGAGAGGAACATCTCGGTTTTTAACTCGTCTCCTCTGATCTCATCACAACCCTGCTATGGCTGCTGTGCTGCTAGCCCTGGTCTGTCTGCTCAGGAAGTGTGTGCTGCAGCTGTTTGGGGTCTTCACTGTCATTGTTCACTTTGTCACTAAATTATTTCCCACAAAAAGAACAATCGGCAGGTTTTACGACATTAAAGCTCCCCCTAAAATATCATTGCTGTGCGCCAGCTCTGGTTTACTGAATAAATGTTCTTGTTGAGGTTCAGATGACCCGACTTAACGTTGTTGGATTTTTTCACCTGGATTATCGAGCATGAACTTTGATGTTCTTGTTGAGGTTCTGCTGAGTTGTTCAGTAATTCAGCTGTACACCCACAAGCTTTAATACTGAGGCTTTGCTTCTTTTTAGCCTGCACTGGTAAAAATGCAGCGTGTTTTTGGACATTAAAGTTTGGAGTGTTGCTCCTTTGTTAGAGTTTTCCCAGGAGGGAGACTGTAATGTCTGTCCCAGCAGTGAAACCAGTTCAAGCACCTGGTGGTGAAGCGTGATGGTATGGACCATGTTACGGTGCTGGTTTGTCATCGCGCTCAGTGTGCTCCTGTTCAGATGAAAAGTCTTTATTTCCTCATCAGACAGAAATGTTGATGTTCTGGTCAACAGTCACTGAGAGACACGTCCGTTTGTGTCCATTTTATTTTCCTCCTTCTTTCGGCTGCTCCTCCTTCAGGGGTCATGAAGACTTGTCAGTTGTTTTTACGCCAGATGTCCCTCCTGGCACAACCACAGAGCTACCACAGCCCTCTGTGTGGAGCAGAGAGCTGACCGTAGGGCACCCGGGGGGTGGGGGGTAGATGGTGGGGGTGCATCATCCCTGAACCGTTCATATGTACTGTACAATGCTAAACACCCCAGCTTCAAGGTCAAGATCACAAGTAAAGGTCAAGTATTATAGAAGTTCTTTGCTTGACGGGTCGTTGCTGTAGATTATTGCCGTAGATTATTGCCGTAGATTATTGCCGTAGATTGCTGTAAAATAGTTGCCGGGTGTTAATAGTGCCTTAAGCTTTGTCGTTAAAAGCTAAAATCTTACCCTAAAGTTGTTTTCATAGAAATATTGATCTTTTTATTGTATTAAAAAGTGGCACCTTCGTGTTTTGTTTTTATTAAAACACATTTAGTGAATTTAGTTTTGCATAAGCTGATATATAAGGAAGTAGTTTTTATTATCAGTAGGGATGCACGATATTGGATCTTTGACTGATATCCGATATGCCGATATGCTAAAACTTATTTGGCCGATAACCAATATCGATATTTTTTCCTAGACCTACTTACAGAGACTACATGGCTTTCTCTACTGTGGGATTAAAATCCTACATTATTCTAAATGGTCTTTGTCAGTTTGGCCAGCTACCAAATGCAGATGCCAAAAAGGGGCTGAAAATGATTTAACACTGTATAAATTAATAATATATATTAAAAAACTGCGCCTTTTATATTGATGAGTTATTTTGATGGAATGGCTGATGTCTGATATTTAACTTTATGACTAATGACGGCCGATGCC